AGCAAAGACGGGGACACCCCATGACCCCCTGAAGCCAGAGCCAGCAGAGCAGACTGGAGGGGCCAGACTCCTGTGCCCAAGCCCGGCCTGACTCCTTCCCCCCGCCCGGCTGGCGCGGAGCCGCCCTGCTCATGCAAGGGGGAGGTGGTGGCGTGCGGCCTGGCCCTGCCAGGGGCTAGCGGGCAGCGAACGTCTTCCCCCTGCGGAGGCAAAGGCAGGCGTTAGGGCTGGGCCCTGCACGTGACATCAGCCAGTGGGGGGCACGGAGACTGGGGGCAGTGCCACCCCCTTGCATGGTGCCAGGGCAGGTGGCAGCTGCTGCCCCCTCCTCAGCCAGCCCCCTGGGTGCCCGCTTGGCACCGCTGCTACCGCCAGCTGCCCTGGGCTCACGCGAGGATGCCCATGGGGCATGGAGAGGACGGTGCGAACATGCCTGGCCTGTGAGGCCCCAGGGAGAAGGTGGGGGGAGCCCTGCGTGCTGTGGGAGGCCGTGGGGAGCACTGGTGCCGGGGCGCTGGGGGCGCGCCCTGGCAGTACCTATCTGCACTGCCTGTCCTGGCCTCAACTGCGCTGCCTGGCTGCTCTGTGCTCCGCGCCCGCCGGGGCCTGGCGGTGGCTGGACATGTGCCCGGCCCCGAGCAGGCTCCTGTGGAGGACAAGGGAGGGGGCAGGCATGAACACGGGGAGGGGGATGGGTGCACGGTCCTGGCTGCCCCCACATCTAGGGGTCACAGGGCTTGCGCATCACCGCAGGATCAGGCGGCCCCAGGTGCCAGCCTGCACACCCCCATCCCCATCCCCGGCAGGTCGCGTTACCCTGGGCTTTGCTGTTGCTTGCGGCCCTCTGAGCCCTGCTCATCCCCAAGGGGCTGCGCCCATTTCCCAGATGGGGAAACCAAGGCTGAGCATCTTCCAGCCAAGAGGGACTGGATGCAGCTGCAGGTGCTGAGCGTGCCCCTGCTGCCAGCTCCGTTTGGGGCCTTTCCCTGCCCCCCCCCACCGGGGTTACACCTGGGCACAGATACCTGCCCGGCAGGGCCCCCGCAGCCCGGTCCCCACCGAGGGCTGGGGCTCTGAGCCTGCCTTGGGCTCCACGCTGTCCTCTGCTTGGCGGACAGCCGAGACCACACAGGACAGGGCCTGCTCACCCTCCGCTCAGGACAAGCCTCAGCCGCCTCCTTAGGCTTCCCGGGCGCTGCCCTCTGGGGCAGGAGGAAAGCCTGTCGGCTTCACCTTCCCTTGCCAAGGGCGGCCCTGGCCTGGGGGCGTAGCGGGGAGGCAGCTCCTGCCTTCACTGCCTGCCCAAGCACCCAGCGGCCTGGGAGCTGGGCAAGGGGCACCGAGGGCGATGCCCGCCGGGGAGAGACACTCACGTGATTGTTTTCATCTCCTTCTTCTCGGCGTCGGGCCGGGCTCGGGTCAGCACCTTGAGGAAGGCGGATGTCTTTGCCCTGTAGGCCTGGGGGGACACGGGGGAGGGGCAGGGAGGCCTGCCCCGGGGCTGGAGGGACCCCGGCACGGAGCAGCAGCCCGCACCAGGCAGGAGACGTGTGGTGACACCTCCCCCCGCCCCGGTACCGACCTTGGAGCACTTGATGTGATAGTGCAGGTAGTCGCGGAAGGTGTGGATCAGGTTGATGGTGTTGTCCCGGGCCGCGGTGTTGGTGTGGCGGGGGAACAGCACTGGAAAGCAAGTGGAGGGTGGCACGGTTACTCTCCATCCACGCCGGGTACCGGCACTGTTAGACCACTGGCAGCAGAGACCTGCCCTTTCCCTGTATTCACTTGAATCTAAGACGACCCCCACCCCCATGGTGGAGAACCTAGCTGTAGCAGGAAGGGGGATAGGGACAAATTCAAGACCATCGCCCCCCATAATGATATCCTACACCTGGGAACTGGTGAGGAGACGTGTACATTTTCCACACGCACGCACGCAATCTCAGTGTTTTAAATTCAGGGTCGACTTAGATTTGAGTACACCCGGTAATGGACACCAGCGAGCTCGAGGGTACGTGCCCTTCCTGAGCTACCACATGGTGAAACGTGGTTTACCAGCGCCGGCTCTCACAGGACAGGGTCCCCTGACAGCTGTGCCAGCTGGCGGGGCAGGGCAGGGCACCATCTCCAATCCTGCCCCATGTCATTGGGATTGCAGTGATGGGGAAAAAGGCCCAGGGGTTCTCACACGAACCCGTGTCCCAGTCAAAACCCAAGCAGCAGAAGAGCCCAGTCTCCCCGGAGAGACTGACATAACGGGAAGCATCACAAGGCCCTTTTACAAACCCACGGGGTATCTGTGCTTTGAACCCGGTGCCCGGCTCGGGTCCCCACAGCCCTGGGGAGGAGAGAGAAGAGCTGGAGAAGGTGCAGAGCAGGACAGCAAGGAGGCCGGGGGCTGTGGAGGGGCGAAACTGAGGCCAGGCCTAGGAGAGATGCCAGAGGGGACAGGAGCAGGGTTTGCATTGCACTGAACAGGGAAGAGAAAGTCCCTGGGGTTTATTCCTGCCCGTCTCTGCCCAGACACAGCGGGGATCCTGGCGCGGGCAGCTGCCAACCAAGCCCAGGCCGTCCTGTCCCCCCACGGGGCATTCACAGGGGAACTCATGGCTCCAGATGTGGCGGAGCTGAGAGCGCAGCCGGATCCCCCGGGGACCGGACACGTGCGGGGAGGAAAGGGGCACGGGGAGCGCTGGGGCAGGGAGCGAGGGGCACGGCCTCTGCACCAGCCCTGCCGGGACCCTCCGTGCTGGAAGAACAGGGGAAAGCCCTGCTCGGCCCTGGGCACTCGCCCGCCAGCTCCGCTCTGCCCTGGGACGTGGGGCAGGATAGACCTGGTTCTGAGCCAGCACAGGGCAGCTCGGATGTTTCTCCACTTTCCCACCATGGAGACTGGGTCCAGCAGGGCTGGCTCCGGGTGCCCCAACAAGGAGCACGGCTGGGAGAGCAGAGCAGCCGCCACGCCTCAGCCCTGGGGAACGCCTGCCGCGTGCCACCCTCCACGCCCAGCTCTGCCCATGCTCAGCTCCGGACTCGTGAGTCAAACAACACAGTTTTCTTGGAACAGTTCTCAGTCCTCGGTGCTTGGCATCGCGTGTTGCGGTGGGGGCCCTGCCCAGCCTCTAGACTAGAGAGGAAAGCCGGAGAGCGCGGTCTACTGTGGTTGCCCCATGGGAAGTTGAGTCCATCTGCTATGGGGATGTCCCAGGCTGCCCAGCCTTGCTGGGTGCCACTTGGGGCTCGGAGGGAATCCCCCGCATTGCTGCTCTGTGCAGGGATGAGTCTCCAAGAAGCCATCGTGTGCAGCAAGGAAAAAACCCCAAAGCAATGCCACATTTTTAAAAGAGGTGGCAAAAGTTACACCCCCTGCCTGACCAAAACAAGAGGTGAGCATCGCAGAAGCAGCGAGGCAGAGTGCGCTGGAGATCCTGAGAGATGCCTTGAAGAAGAAGGGCCGCGTGCTGATGGAGACGCCCCAGGGCCTGTTTTGCTGTGGTATCAACGAGCCCAAATTCTAGATGGCGCGCTACGCGCTCCTGACGGAGCAGCGGGTGAGAGACCTCATCTCGGTGCTGGAGGAAGCCAAGTTCATAGAGGATCCTTCCAGTAAGAAACTGCGTGTGTGGGTTTATTCAAAATCTGAAGATAAAACCATTTATCTGGGTCCGCAATTCTGAGAGACTCCGAGTCACCTTGGCAAAGATTCCCAGCCGGGGACTTTAATCCACGAGGACTCGCGCCTCCTGGGCACGTGCGACATCACCTACCAGCCAGTCAGCTCCTATGTCACCTGCAAGGGGCTGATGGTGCAAAACAACGCAAGGAACCGAAACAGGGCAAAATTTCTTCCTCTGGTGACTGCGGTGCTAAATGCCAACAACACGGAGCATGACTTTGAATGGACCCCGAGGCACCGGGGAGGCTACGAGCGGGGACGATGCTCCTGCTGCGGGGAGACGGCGAGAAGCTCCGTCTGCGAGAGTGCCGTGCCCGACGAGCTCTTCACTTGTCTGAACAGCCAGAGGTGAGTAACGTTTCCAGAGGATGCGCTCGTGTGGGGGTTTCCCTGCGAGACCCAGTGCCTGCAAGCCCCAGCACCCTTGCAGGACGTGCCCGCTTCTTTCCATGCCTGGGGACTGGTCAAAGGGGGGATGTGCCCAGCTAAAACATCAGCCAGCAGCCCCAGCCCACGGCCACCGCGATCTCTTCTGATGCGGATCAAACATTGGTATCAATAATTTGCAACAGGAAGTGCAAGTGGCACAGACAGGGCCTGGGCCGAGTGCTCCCTGGGAGGCAGCAGCCGTGCTAACAGAGCATTAACACTTTAGACCTATGGAATAACGTCCCTCTTTTCTCTCTTCTCCTTTAGTGAATTATTAAGGAGGATCACTGATAAAATAGTGAGGAAGAAGCTGCTTCTGGCCCGGGACAGGCTGCAGTAGCACGTAGCGGCACTTGAGGCAACTGCTGATGCTGTGGACGAGGTTCACAGAGAAGCCACGGCAGCAAACGATGCTGGAGGGAGAGCGGGCAGAGAGGCCTGCAGAAAGATGGGCGTGCTCATGCTGCCTTGGGGGGACGGGCAGGGATTTGCCCCCTGCTCAGCCTGGCTTGGCCGGAGGGATTTCCCCTCCCTCTGCAGCAGGAGCACGGCCTGGGCCTGGGCCTGGGCTCTCTCCAGTGCCCACCAACACCCCTGGCAGCAGCAGCCCCCCTGTATCCTAGGGGCAGCGGTGATGCCTGGCACTGCGTCAGGGGCGACTGTGTCCTGTGGCTCCGAGGTCAGACACAGGGTTTGTCGGGGGGGTTTTGGACAGGAATGATCTTGCCTTGGGCTGGATATGACCCCACAGTTCCCTGCCCGCCCCACTGTGCTTGGACTCTACAATTCCCAAGCACCATTTTAGGAAAATCCCCAGCTTTTTCCCCTGGATACAAGTCAGTCATGCTACACCATGCCCTTGAACTGCCACTATCCTTGCAAAATCCTACAGGAGAATCACATAACGAAGGAGGGACCCAGGGGGTTAAAGTGCACCAATATAAACCTGCGCTGGAGACATTTCTGGCTTGGTGCTTTTCCTGAATGTACAAAAATACAGTGGGGTCAAAGCCATGGTCGGCTGGAGGTCAAGCCCAAAGTCCCTGACCGCGTGAAGGCCTGACGTTGCAGATGACATCAAGCTGGAGGGAGTAGTCTGGAGGGTTGGGCTAGGCTTCAGAGTGACCTTGACAAGCTGGAGGATTGGGCCAAAAGAAATCTCCCGAGGTTCAGCAAGGACAAGTGCAAAGTCCTGCGCTGAGGAGGGAGCAATCCCCTGCACTGGTGCAGGCTGGGGGTGATGGGCTGGGGAGCTGCTCTGCAGAAAAGGACCTGGGGGCACAGGGGACAAGAAGCTGAACAGGAGCCAGCAGTGTGCCCTTGGTGCCCAGAAAGCCAACGGCATCCTGAGCTGCATTGACAGGAGCAGTGCCACAGATGGAGGGACGTGATTCTTCCCCTCTGTTCAGCACTGGGGAGGCCACATCTGGAGTGCTGTGTCCAGCTGTGGGCCCCCCCACTGCAGAAAGGATGTGGACACATTGGAGAGAGTCCAGCGGAGGGCAGTGAAAATGGTTGTGGGGCTGGGAGACAGGACTGGTGAGGAGAGGCTGAGGGAACTGGGCTGATTTAGTCTGGAGAAGAGAAGACTGAAGGGGATTGAATAGCAGCCTTCGCCTCCCTGCAGGGGGGCTGCAAAGAGGACGGAGCTGGGCTGGTCTCAGTGGGGGCAGATGACAGGACAAGGAGCAATGGGCTCCAGCTGCAGCAAGGGAAGTTGAGGTTGGATATTAGGAAGAACTTTCTCATTAAGAGGGTAGTAAAGCACTGGAAGAGGTTAGCCCGAGAGGGGGGGCAGTCTCCATCCTTGGAGGTTGTTAAGACCCAGCTAGACAAAACCTTGGCTGGGATGATGTAGTTGGGCTGGTCCTGCTTGGAGCAGGGGGTTGGACTAGATGTGACCTCCTGAGCTCCCTTCCCACCCTCATATTCTACGAGTCTGTGATTCTCCGACAGCCCAGAACACCGCGGAGCCCGTGGCACCAGCCACATGCTCAGGTCATGCCTCTATTTGCTGAAGGAAAAGGTATCTGCAGACATCTTCGTGGCCAGACAAGCTACACCAGGGAGCTCAGCCCATGGCTCAGACCTGGGTCCCAAAATCTGGCAGTGGAAGAGCGAAGACATCACTCTCCTTGCTGCCAAATTTCCAGACTGATGGGAGCCCTCAGCCCTTTGTGCTGAACTGGGCACCCAATCACTGCACACAGGACTGGGCAGGGCTGGCACTGGACCCCGGCCCCAATCCCCGTGTGGGGGACCGGGAGGGGGTTCTGCCAGGCTGGCAGGGCCCAATCTCAGCATGTGAAGGGGGCAGTGCCGGGACCCCCCAGGTCAGCCAAAATGGCAGCCAGCACTAGGGGTGCTCTAGAGGGAACGGTCCAAGGCCCCATGCAGGGCTGGACTGTTGCAGTCCCACCGCAGCCCATATCGTCCAGTTGTAGCCTCAAGAGCTTGCAGAGACAGCTGGGACACGGCGACAAGAGTTCCCGGCTCCCACTTCTGCACCTACAACGTTTGCCCACGGTCCGTTTCCGCTCAGCCACGTGGCCTTGTCAGAAATGCAGAGCCAAATCTTACAAAACCCGAGCGAGTTAGGAGCCAGCCTCCCGTTTTCCAAAGCCACCCAAGTACAGACGGGTAAAGCCGAGGTGGCGCTCCAGCGGGGAACCTGCTAGACGCGACTTACCGAAGGTGATGTAGCCGATGTTGTCACCCACAGCAGCGTCGGTGTCCTTCAGCTCCAGGGGGGGCTCCCGGTGGCTGAAGAGCACCTGGGGGGCCGTGTGGCTGGCACGTCGCCCCTCCTTGAATTCCTGGCAGGGAGAGAAAGCTGAAAGTGAGTCCGTGGGTTTGGGGTCGTGCGCGCAGAGTTCCCAGCCCGCGGACACGAAGCCTGGCTGCAGGACCCGAGCCATCCCTGTCCCGAGCTAGACCCCAACATCTCCATCTGAGTGGGGGTGAACGGATGGGAGGGTCCCAGGGAGTCATTCAGGGCCACGGGGGCCGAGACCTGCTACGGAGATTCGGAACCTGCCCAAAAGGCCGGGGTCATTTGGACGGAGCCTTCCCTCCTCCCTGCCAGGGAGGACAGGGCTGAGACGCAGGCAGGGGCCTTCTCCAACACCAAATTATAACATCCTGGAGCCGTGGATCTGGCAAGGAGCTGTGGGGTCACGTCCAGCCTGAGGCAGGATCAACCCCGTCCAAACCTCCCAGACAAACTCGGTGTGCGACCTCGGAGCTGCACAACATCGTCGCCCCTGACACAGCTCCGGGCATCGCCCCTGACCCTGGGATACAGGGGGGCTGCAGCTGCCACCATCCTGCTTCTATAAATGCCTGTCGATATATTCTTGAAACCCAGAGCAGAGGCCATGCCCGTGACAGGAAGGCAAATAAATCCATCCCCAGTCCGTATTAATCTGACCCTGGATTCAAATTCTTTCCGGACCTCAAATATGGGGCTGGTCTGACCCTGAGCGGAGGGATGAGACCTTCCAGCCAAGAGCCTCATCCCAGGAAGAGCATCGGCACTGCCCGAGCACAGCCCCAGCCCGGGCTGCAGCCAGCACCCAGCGACTCAGAGGCTTAAAAACACCCTGATGCATGTAGCAAAGGGTGGGGAGGATCCCCCCCAGCACAGCATGGGCATCGCTGCACCTTGATCCTGCCTGCCCCGCTGCACCCGTCCAGCCTCTTGTTGGATCTCCAGGGCTGGAGAGTCCCCCGGCCCCGGCATCCCTGCCCAGGCAGTGAATAAGTGTTTCCTGAGATCCAACCTAAACCTGCTTTGCTGCAACTTCAAGCCATGGATCTGTGTGGTCTGCTCTGCAGCAGGAGAGAGAAGCTGCTCTCCGGAGCCCCCAGGCCCCTGCTGGCTGCTCCCAGGTGCCCTCTGAAGCCCCTTTCCTCCCAGCCGAACATGCCTGGAACATGCTCCCTTGGCCTCTCCCTGCAGGACCTGCCCTCCCAGCCCTTGACCAGCCCTGTCGCTGCCTCTAGCCCTTCTTCAGCTTCTCCACGGGCTTTTTGCAGCGTGGAGCTCAGAACTGCGCTCTTGCAACTTGACGCCAAAGGCAGAAGCAGCTCAAAGAGCTTCCTCCTGCCTGAGGCAGCTGGTTCCAGTCAGATTTTCCCCATGAGCGGAGCAGCTGAGGTGCAACACCCATCAGACAGTGCAACATTGTGTGGCTGGAAGCAGCTGGACCCTTGGCGACATCACCCAGCCCCATTGGTTAAGCCCATGGTTTTACGAGCTGAAACTGGGGAAGCTCAGAGTTAACACCAGGCACGCAGGGCTGGGAGCGCTGGCAGGAGGACTCGCACCCTGAGCAGACGCCCAGCTCGTGACTCACGCCAGAGACAACGCAGAGGATCCGATGACTACGTCCTGGACGCGTCTGGTGGCTGGGAGGGAGACCACAGCCGCTGGCCTGTGAGGATGTAACGTGGCCGGCACCCGGCTCGGCACCAGCTCTCTGACCTCATCCCTCTCGTACCCCAGAATATGATGTGTGCCCAGCGCGACAGGCCCCAATACAAGCTCCTGCCATGAGACTCAGCTGCAGCCAGGGTTTCGCAGGACTCGTGCTCAACGTCGGTGCCATCTCAGGGCACTGCGTGTGGAGAGGGCGCCCCGACACGCGGATGGCGTGTGGGGTCAGGAGTCGCAGCGCGACTGAGTGGCAGCACAGGTTTCACAAGAAAGCACTTGCCTGCGCAGAGCCCAGGCATGTGGACGATGCCTTCAAACCCAACCCCAACCACGCGCTCTACAGACAAGGGTGGGTTGGGAGCCAGACACGCTTCAGGCTTGCGCTCCTTTCGTGCTATGGCTTTAACAGGCACCGTCTTTGAAACGAAGAGGGTAGCACCCACCCAGATGCAGCCCAGCACAGACTGGGACTATACCCCTTCCCCCAACACCGCTCTTGCTGCTCCCTGTGACAGGGGGTTTTTAAGCCTCTCCCAGAGGCGTCAGGTGTTGGCTGCAGCCCAGGCTGGGGGCTGTGCCAATGCTCTTGCTGGGATTTAAATCTGGAGGGTCCTGGCTACAGGGTCCTGCCCCTCTGCTCAGGTTCAGACTGACTGCTGTATTTGGGGTCAAGAAGGAATCTTACCCTGCGCTCAGAGTAGCATGGATTGCATCACCTGCACGCGCGCACACACACACACGGGCAGCAGTGCTTTCCCAAACGCTATAGCTTTGCTGTTCTTTGCCCAGACTCCACGTCCTCCAGCTAGCTGCCTGCTGGCTGAAGCCCACACGTGAAGTGGCTGTATTCCAGGGCCCCACATGTACAGTCAAGCGCTCTGGGGTGAGAGGCAACACAAAACCACGTGACAGACTCTTAAGCTGGACAGGAATCTATTCGTTAGGCATCAACAACAGACCGGCTTAGAAAAGCTCCTGTCTAAGCCCAGTAGCCGGTTTTACCCTAGAAGTGTCCCATTCCACGGATGTCTGGGAGCTGTGCAGCGACTCCAGGTGTTAAGCCACCCATTCTCACCACTGTTTATGCTGCTGCTTGCAGTCACTTTGGAAACAGGGCCACTGCCAATTTCTAACACACCTGTGTGTGGGCCGGGGCCACCCCATCTCGACGCCCTGCGCTTGCCATACCTGCATGAACACTTTCCCGATCACCACGTCGTCATCGTCCTTGAAAACCGTGCTGAAGACAACCGTCACACGGTCCTTCTTCGCCTCGACGTACCTGGAGAGGGTGAGGGGGGAAGGGACACAATTGACATCTAGTGGGTCAGACCCTAGGTCCGTCCTGCCCCGTCTCTTGTGTCACAGGGCAGAAGAGAGTGGAGCTGGAGGGAGAGTGCCTGGGTCTGAGCAGGGTTTTCCTCGGTTCCTCTCCCTGCAGCCTCCAGCATTGAAAGTCCAGGAAGTTTTGATGCAGGGGCCGTGCCCCTCACTCCCTGCCACCGATGCCCTTTCCTCCCAGCACGTGTCCAGCCCCCGGTGAATCTGCCTGAACTCCACTCCCGCCACGTCTGGAGACAACGAGCTCCACCCTTTAATTCCACGCTATGTAAAAAAAAACTTCCTCGTGTCATTTTCAACTGACTGCCTATTTGCTCCATGCTGTAACCCCCTCGTTCTTGTCTGGTGAGAGACAGTCGGTAATAAATCCCTAGGGACCTTCTTTGCCATTTAGTGTTTTGGAAACCCTTCTCATGTCTCCCCTGAAGCATTTCTTTCCTAAACTGACCAGACTTGGCTTCGTTAGTCTCTCCACCTAGGGAAGCCCCTCCCATAGCTTTTAGCATCCTTGTTGCCCTTCTTTAGGCCTTCTCTAGGTCTCCTAGCTCTCTGTGGAGGTGCAGGGACCAGAGCTGGGCACAGCCTTCCAGGTGTGAAGCAAACCTGCTCCGAGCGAAGGCTGGGGACCCTGGAAAAGCCCCGACGTAGAAAACAAGGTGCTGCTACAGCGTGCAGCAGAGGTGGACGAGATGCAGACACCACAGGTGCTCAGATCAGAGCATCCACGTGATAAGTGACAGGGTGCATGGCAGGGAGCGTGTGACAGCAACTGCAAGAGAGCAGGTGGAGGCAGGGATGGCTGCTAGAAAATGTGACGGCCCCTTGTCCCAGGCACTGCCCCTTCCTCAGGGAACAGAGCGCTTCAGCCAAGTCTGAAACTTCAGGAATAAGAGGGTCCTTGACAGGCTGTTTGGCAACATTCATGTACAGCTTGTTGGTCAGACAGACAAATGGTGCCTTCATGATGGACCTCTCATGGACTGAGACAAGACCAGGACCTTCACCGAAACAGCACCAAGGAGCTTACTGCTCACCATGGCTTCCTACACATCTGAACAGAGGTGCGGGGCATGTACACGTCTGGCAGCCAGGCCTGGGACCCTGTATAGATGAACCTGTTGGGGGATGTGTGGCTCCACCCGTGTGTGCTCTGCACGCCTACATCGTGTTGTCTCGGTAACAGATGAACACATTGGCAGCATCACGGCAGGCATGTGTGTGACTGCATATGTACGTATGTGTGCGCACACACGATTACCTTTTAGCCCTATTAATAGATTAACATGTTGACACTGACAGGGCAGACATGTGCATGCATGTGCGTGCCCCCTCCCTACATGCTTTCATCAGCTCAGTCCTGTTAATGAATGAACATTTCAGTAGTGTCAGAACAAGTGTATGTGCATGTGCACGTGTGTGTGTGCCCTACGCACTTAGATCATGTCATTGTCCTGGGAAGGGGTAAATGTGTTGGCAGTGCCAGGGCAGGTGCGTGGGTAGATGTGCATGCACATGCACGAGTGTGACTACATGCTTACACCATCTCATCATCCCAGTAATGGACAAATGTGTTGGCTGCATCAGGGCAGGCATGTGTGTGAGTGCACACACGTGCATGTGTCGTATGTGTTTACATAATCTCTTAGTCCCAGTAACGGATGAATGAATGTGTTGGCAGTGTCAGGGCAGGCGTGTGCGCGCTCCACGTGCTTACATGGTCTCGTCGTCCCGGTAGTGGATGACCGCCCTCTTCTCCCCCTCCTTCCCTTCTTCCTGGAACTTGAAGTACTTCTCGAAGACGGAGGCGAAGCAGTTGCGCTTCAGCATGCCGGCCTGGTGCACCAGAGCATCCTTGTCGGCAGGGAGGTTCTCCAGGTCGTAGAGTAGCGACACGTTGTAGCCTGCAGAAGGACAGAGCCGTCCCGTCCGAGGGAGGGAATTCAGCGAGCGCAGGATAACATCCCCCCTGCTCCAAGCCCTGCCAAGGCCCCCTCCCCCAATTCTCATCACTGCTGGACACGTCATCGTGGGTCCGACCTGCCGTGCAACTGGGCCGAGTCTGGCTGCGGACCCACAAACCCTCTGTTTGCCCCCGTCTCCGAGACAGGGGCAACAGCACAGCGGTAGCGGGTGTGTAGAAAGAGCTGCCGTCACAAGTAACCCCAGTTTCCTTGGATCCTGAGTCTCCAGGAGAACAAATCTCCCAACAGCGAGGCTTTCCCCAGGGCGGGATTGTGCAATGTGTGGCAACAACAGCCCACACCATTGCCCCCAGCCCTCTCTGAACACTGGGAGCTCCTCTGCTGTGCTAGGAGCCCTGGCTCCAAGCCCAAGAGCCTGGCACCCTGCCCCATGCTACTTGGTTCTGCCAAAGCTCGGGAGGAAATCGCCGTGGGCACGTCCCACGCATGTTTCCCGGGGTTCGACAGACTCAGGCTTACCCGACTCGGGAGTTACCAGGTAGCTGCCATAGACTCGCTTCAGTAACTAGGAGAGAAGAAAGGAGATGTTGGCACCTGCCAGACCCCACACTCCTCTCCTCCCGTCAGCCCCTCTGCTCACAGGGCCCGAGGCAGGGACCGAGACTCTGGCTTGGCTTCCGGGCTGGAGCTAAGGCCCCAAATCTCAGGCCTCTGCACAGTCAGGCCCTAAAGGCCCCGAAGGCTGACCACTGTACAGTCAGAGGCTTCCCTGATTTTTATGGGACTAGTTTCTGCTTCTGTTCAAGGCAAATCCCCATGTCTTCCCTGATCCCACAGCTTGCAGGGTGCTACAGGACCCTCTCTCGGAACAGGTGCTGCCATTGGGTTTTTATACGAAGGCATTTCTAGGCCCTATGGCTGTGGGGGAAAGAAGACGACAGCGCAGATTTGCATCTTATGTATGTATGTACACACGCACGCACGCACACTCTGGTTAGTCTATGTATATGTACATATGTACGTATATATAAGCATGCACACAGGCACGTGTGTATATACACACACATATGTAGATTAACCAAAGTGTATGAGTGTATATGCACACACACACACGCATGCATGCGCACGCATAGCCTGCTGTATAGCCTGGCTCATCTGGGCCAGGCTATACAGCACAAGCTTTCATGGGCTAACATTATGATTATTTATATACCCTATATACACATGTACGTACACATGCACATGCACACACGCACGCTCCCCTCTGGTTTGCCTATCAGGTGCAGATCTACCTGACCTTCTATCCGATTTCAGACTAACACAGTGAACCCTGTGGGCTCCTAAAGTCTCAAGAGACCTTGAGAAGCTGCATCAAGTCCAACCCCCTGCCCGAGGCAGGATTAGCCCCGTCCAAGCAAACCCTGTTGTGACCTTGGAGCTGCATGACACTGTTGCCCCTGACACAGCCCTGGGTATTGCCCCTGCCCCCGGGATACAGGGAGGCCACAGCCACCAATGTCCTGCAGCTGCGAGGGGGCTTAGTGGGCGCTGGAGAGCCCAGGCCCAGGCCGTGCCCCCGCTGCAGAGGGAGGGGAAACCACTCCCCCAGCTGGACCAGGCTGAGCAGGGGGCAAATCCCTCCCCCCCAAGGCAGTGTGAGCAGGGGGCAAGAGCCTGTAGCCAAGACCCTGCAGAGCTGAGTCCCATCAGGAGCACTGGCACAGCCCGGGCACAGCCGCAGCCAGCACCCAACGCCTTTGAGGGAGGCTTAAAAATAACCCCACCCCCCGACTCACACAAAGGGCAGGAAGGCAAAACAATTCCATCCTGGCCCCATGCGGCAACTAGCAAAGGAGCTGTGGACTCAGAGTTGGAGTCCAATGCGCAGCCAGGGAATGCAGGGTCCAGATGTCCAGGTATTCGAGCACTGCAGCAGCCAAGGAGATCACTGACTAGAGCCACCTACGAGCCAGCCCCACTGGGACAGGTGCGTGGTGGGAAGGAGGTTCTGTGCCAGGCAGCTTGGAGAGCATCCTGGGAGCTGAGCCGCTTGCAGCAGTGCAGAGAGCTCATCTCTAGGGAGAGCCCCTGCTGTGGCGCAGCTCCGAGACAGTGCAGTCACAGGAAGGGAAACAGCTCATGGCAATGGGATTGATTAGCCTGGCAACAAAGTTCAGGGGTGTTCCCCCCACCCCAGGCACGAGGCACATGGATCTCGACTCAGCAGGGAGCCGCAGAGCACTGACACGACCCCATCAGCGAAGGCAGGGGTGTCAAACATTGAGCTCACCAGGCACGTCCAGCCCCACTGGTGCTGCCCCACGTCCAAACAGACCCCCATGGGGCAGAGCACACGTCACAGCAGACAGGGCTTTGACACGTATGGTGCCCAGGACTGCGCTGCGTGAGCAGATGTGTGCCATATGGATCCTGGAGTGCCTGGAACAGGCACATGTAGCAGAGTGCATCCAGGGGCGTGTAGCATGGATCCCAGAAGTGCTACACACGGTGCCTGTCCCAGGGCACGCACTGCACATGGCACCCAACCCAGAAGGTCCAGGACTATGCCACACGTTGCGCCTGCTCCAGCCAGTCTGGGAGTCACGCCACACGTGGTGTAAGCAAGCGTCACGAGCAGTGCGGGTCCCAGATCGGCTGAAGCAGGCGCCGTGTGAGGTGTGGTGGTTCTGAGCACAAGCCATGTGTGTTGCAGTCCAGCCAGATGAGCACTGCATGCAGCCCAGGTCTCAGGCCAGCTGGAACGGGCGTTGTGTGCAGCAGTTCTCGGAGCAGGCACCACTTGTGGTGTGGTCCAGCTGAGGCAGATGCCACTGAACACCCACCCGCTCCGGCCGGTCTGAGATCTGTGCTACAGGCCCCTGGCCAGACCATGCACACATGGCGCCCACAGATCCATGCCGCACACAGCGTGGGTCCCAGACCGGCTAAGCCTGGTACCATATCTGGTAGGCTAAGGGAAGGGAAGAAGAGGGTGGGAACCCATGGGTCAATTTGGCCCCAGGCCACTCAGCTGGTTTACCAGGCTAGATTAATGCGAGAGCCCTGGGCTCAAGGGCTCTGCCTCCAGAATGAGGTGACCGGCACTTCTCTAGCAGTGGCTGAGGACAGAGCTGATGTGGAGCCAGGACAGGCTGCTACACCCTCCCCACAGCGCAGAGAGGACTGGGGAGACAACCAAGGGCAGAAGGGGACCTTCCCTGGGTGCCCTCCAAGAGGAATCAATTATTCAAAGGCTCTGATTTTACAGTACTGGGGCCCTTTCTTCCTCCATGCCCAGTGCTACTTCACTACTGCTTCAGAACCTCATACAGATGGCATCTATTTCCCATCACAGGGGGAAGTACGGCATTAAGGATCTAAGCTGGAGGACACGGAAGGGAGGGCCCTAGCATGCAGCTCGCACTCACTGCACATCTAAGTGGCTGGAAACAGATCCTCCTCACTGCAGTGATCAGTGCAACTGCCCCACGGGGCTGTGGGGTGGGGAGAGCTGCATGGAAAGCCAAGTGCTGACAAGGTAACTGGGCTCTGTGGTTTTCCCGAGGCTGCAACCTGTCTGGAAGAGCCAGGCAGCTCCAGTCTGGCCCAGTGGGGTCCCCTGCAAGCCAGGAGGAGCTGGGGGAACTTTGCAGCAAAGTCAGCACCAGGCCCCTGACCTGTGCTGGATGCCCTCACTGGAGCTCTCCTTAGGGGTGACTCTCTCCAGCTACGCCTGCAATCAGCTCATGGGGCTGTGAGCAGTTTGGTTCCCTTTGCTCCCATTGGAGGGGGAAATCTGCACACACGCACCCCGACACATGCACAAAGACATGCCAGAGAAAAGTGCTGCACCTGTGTGCTGAACAGGACTGGGGGAATCCCATTTGGTCACTTGAAGACGCATGTGTTAGGGGGTTTTTAAGCCTTCCTCAGAGGCTCTGGGTGCTCGCTGCAGCCCAGGCTCGGGGGCTGTGACTGGGCCGTGTCAATGCTCTTGGGACCAAAGCCACAGGGTGCTTTCTAGAGGGTTTTGCCCCTCCAGTCAGGGTCAGACTGATGCCATGTTTGAAGCCAGGCAGGACTTTTACCCAGTCATTGTGGTATAAATTGGGGGGTTGCCTTCCTCTGTAGTGGGGGCATAGCCTCTGCCTGGGATCTCTGGAGCGTATACCAACAACCTTTTACAGAAGCAGGACACTGGCCACTATGGTCCCCCTACTTTCCCTGCGGCAGGATTGGGTGTGATGTCTGGTGCTGTGTCAGGCTTCACGGTCATTTTACGAAGAGTTTAGACGATGTTTTGTCTGTGCTGGCTTGGACAGGGCTGATCCTGCCTCAGGCAGGGCTTGGACTAGATGCAACCTCTGGAGCTCCCTGCCAGCCCCACTTCTCTACGATTCTGACACACGAGAGCAGACTTGGGAACTGAGTCATGCTTCCTGCTCTGAACTCCGGCCACAAGCCCCAGCTGCTAAGAGGCCTGTTCTTGCTACCATAAATGGCTCTCTGCGGCAAGAGCCCGGCTGGCAGGAACTAAACCTGCGAGTCCATGCAGCAGCAGGGAGAACTCGATGCATCCAGAAGCCTGGGTGCAAGAAGCAGCCTTTTGTTAGCCTGAAAGCACAGACTGAGGCAGGACAGCAGCCCCATGGGACTCTCTATTTATTCTCTCAGCGAGTTCCTTTGCAAGTCGGCTCAGTTTACAGGTCAAAAAGAAGATGCTGAATTGCCAGGGGCCTCAAAGACCCCCAAGGGAACTGAAAAAAAATCAGCTGTTCTCTGCTATCAGCACAACCTCGTTTAACTGGAACAAAGCAATAGGGCTGGGAGGTGGCAGCTCTTTCCTTCCAGAATCAGACTAGCTCTGTACGGCACATGAAGGCTGCTCTGACCCAGGACAAGATGGTGCTACTCTATGAGGACACTGAGGGCCCTGACCCATGCTAACGTCATGCAAGCATCTGACCGCTCAGGGGACAGGGGCTCGAAGCCAGAGCCAGTCCGGACACTCACCTCGTCGGCACCGTGTTCCTGTAGCTCCTTGTAGAACTTCAGGGAGATGCTGACCATCACTTTGGTCTTGTCTCCATTGGGATTGGAGATGTGGTAGAGGACCCCGTCGAAGTCTGGGGGAAGAGAGGGCAGTCAGAGAGCAATACACAACCTACTTCCAGAGGGCTGCAACGCTAAAGCCTTCTCAAGAAGGGGAAGCCAGACAGCCCGCAGCGCTCTCCAACGCACTGCTCTATGCCACATGGAGCCTGTCATTAAGGACCCTGTGGCCACGGTACGGGGAGATGCTTCACTGGAGTCATGAAGCGCTTTGGCAGCCACAGAGCACAGGAAAGCTTGTGCTCTCACAGAGATGTCTGCCGCACTCAAACCCCTGTGGGTGCAGGGCATAGGGATAAAGGCCTCCTCACTGCTGTCTCTCTACTGGGCCTGGATCTGTCTTCCACAGGCCAGCTCAAGGTCTGAATACCAGATTGTCCTGCGCTCCCCCCAACCCTGCAAAAAGCAGGGGGAAGGGAGGGGAGTCAAGAGCAAAGGCTGCTGCTTAGGCAGACTAGAGAAGCTCTAACCTCACTGGGGTCAGAAGGGCAATGTGCTGGAGGCAAAAGCCGTGCTTCCCAGCAGTGCTCGAGCTGGGCATCTCCAGAGCTGCCTGGGACCTGGAGACAGCAGAGCCAAACTGAATGCCTGCTCCTGGTTTCATGGTTTCTAGGGTCGGAAGGGACCTGAACCGATCATCAACTCCGACCCCTGCCCTGGGCAGGAACGAGTGCTGGGATCATAATACCTCAGGCAGATATCCCCTTCGCTGGGGAATAAGCAACAGAGTGGGGCCAAACTATCAGGCTCTCAGAGCTGCTGCAGTGCCTTGGGGGCTGATTGAGGGCAATGGTGCTACAAGCCGCATCCATGGAGCTCACTGCACCAGGTGATGTCTCCCAGGCATGTGGGGTGAGCAAGCTTGACCTGTGTCATTTGTCCCCAGCACGTGCATGTGCCCCTTCAAGCGCTGGGCTGGGAGGTGGGATGGGGAAAGCAGGAGAGCCATGATCCAAACACAACCCTTGTGGGAGCTGCTGCGTGCAGGAGCACGCTGGAAGGCAGGGAGATGGATTCAACACCTCTCTCCCTGTGGCACTGGGGTTGCCGAGATGGGGCCAAGGCAAGCTCCAGGCTGTTGAAGGCTGGAGACGCCCAGTCTGTGACTCTTACCTGCAAACGTTACTTCCACGGCCTCGGGCTTGTTTCTAAAAAAACAACAGAAAACATAGAAGCGGTCAAGAGCACGTAGCGGCAGCCCTAGAGCTGCCCAGGGTCACCTGGGTACTACAGGGAAAAGCGGCACCTCTGTGGTTTTGGGCAGAGAAGTGGCTTTATATCTGGAGGCCCTAATGGTGACTCCACCCACGGCCATTCTAGTCCTGACCGATCACCTCCCGCCTCGCTCTTGGCAAGCTGCTCTTGACCTCACCTGCGATCGATCCCTTGGCGCTGGAAACAAATCTCGTGTGTTCGGCTTGGAGCGCGCTGTGGTTTATTATCTGGTTCTGAAATTCTCTGGCACAGCCCGCCATCCCCATGGCTGGCGTGAAGTGATCAATCTGCTTCGTTTTTAACTGTTTGAGAGGCATATTTGGAGCTCAGCAGCTCTCTGACACCCGCAGTTAATAAGAGAATATATAATGCAATGGCCTATGACAGCGAGGGGCTGGATCTGGATGCACGAGCTCCCTGGCCAGCCTTGGTCTCTCTTCTAGCCGTGAAGAGCCGAGAAGGGCACCATATCCCAGGCAGTGCTGTGGTGCCAGAGATGTACCCAATAGACCAAAAGGACCCTGGATACTCCCATCACATCTCAACCCCCAGCTGCTGTCCTGTTCATTGCTCGAGATCCCAAACCACGTGTTTTAACTTCCCTTTGCCTTTCCTGCTCAAAGCCCAGAGGCCTAGCAGTGATGCCCTAAGAAGCTGGAAATCTTTTTATGCCATCGAGCTGACTCCAGGTGAACGCTGCTGGCAGATGCTAGGGTCACCTCGGCATAGCGAGGAAGATAAGTGAAAGCTGGAGGGAGAGCAGGGACTTGACACTCCTGTCACTGGTGATTTTAATGACTTTCTGCCAAGCAAAACCCCTGCTGTGCCCTGCCACCTGTTTTGATCATGGGCAACTACCTCTGTCCTGCCCAGGGGGTTTGGGGACAGAGCAGGGTGTGCTGGAGACCAGCACAGGCATGCAGGCAGACTGATGTCCAAGACATCTGTCCTAGGCCCCCTAAAGAGACTCATTGTGATGGGCCACCAGCGGGGATGATGCTCGGGGCAACCAGCACGGTTTCCTTAGGGGCAGGTCCTGTCAGACCAACCTGACTGCCTTCTATGACCAGGTCACAAAAATCATTGGACGCAGGTGTTACGGTGGATGTAGTCTTTCTGGACTTCAGGAAGGCCTTTGACACAGTCTCCCACCCCATTCTCATTAAAAAGCTAGGTGACTGCAGCATTGATGCCTACACAGTCAGATGGATTGCAAATTGGCTGAGGGGTCGCACCCAGAGAGTGGTGGTGGACGGGTTAGTTTCAACATGGAGGGAAGTGGGCAGTGGGGTCCCCCAGGGCTCGGTCCTCGGGCCCGCACTGTTCAATTTCTTTATTAGCGATTTGGATGACGGGGTGAAGAGCAGCCTGTTTAAATTCACCGACGACACCAAGACTTGGGGTGAGGTGGGCAAGCTAGAAGGGAAGGGCAGATTACAGCAGGACCTGGACAGGTTACAGGGGTGGGCGAATGAGAATAGGAAGGGATTCAATACTGACAAGTGCAGGGTGCTGCACTTGGGCAGTAGGAACCAGCAGCACATCTACAGGTTGGGGAACTCCCTTCTCGAAAGCACGGTGGCAGAAAGAGACTCCAAGACAAACACAGGCCGCCAATGCGAGAACACGGTCAGTAGGGCTAACTGTACCTTGCCATGCACCCACAGATGCATCTCGAGCACATCCAAGGAGGTGATCCTCCCCCTCTATGCGACACTGGTCAGGCCGCAGCTGGAGTACTGCGTCCAGCTCTGGGCGCCGCACGTCAGGAGGGATGTGGACAGCATGGAGAGGGTCCAGAGGAGGCCACCCGCATGATGGGGGACAGCAGGGCCGGCCCTACGAGGAGAGGCTACAGGACCTGGACCTGTGCAGCCTTCGCAAGAGAAGGCTGGGGGGGGACCTGGTGGCCATCTATAAACTTACTAGTGGGGGACCAGCGGGGAATGGGAGAGACCTTGTTCCCCCGAGCACCTCCCGGAGTAACAAGGAATAACGGCCATAAGTTGCTAGAGAGTAGGTTCAGACTAGACATTAGAAGGCACTACTTCACTGTCAGGGCGGCTAGGATCTGGAACCAACTTCCAAGGGAAGTGGTGCTGGCTCCTGCCCTGGGGGTCTTTAAGAGGAGGCTCGACGTTTACCTGGCTGGGGTCATTTGAGCCCAGTTTTCTCTCCTGCCCACGGCAGGGGGCCGGACTAGAAGATCTACAAGGTCCCTTCCGATCTTCCAGCTATGAATCTATTGGTTCTTTGCAGGGCAGGGAGGTGCATACCTGGCCTGTGGTCCTGGGGGGACGCTGCTGCTGTCCGTGAGTTATGGACTGTGAAAAGCAACAAACTGGTTTGTTCTGGGACTGGCAAGTTTTAGGGTTTTGTGCTGTACCAGTGGAGATGAAGCACTCAAAAGGATGCTACCAGTGCTTGGTGCAGACCTCTTACCTAAAACATGCTGTCTCTGCTCTCTGTCTGGGCCCCCTCCCCATTTCACGCCACCGTTACACATCTCATCACAGAAACCTAGAACTACAGGGCTGGCAGGGAGCTCTGGAGGTCACATCCAGTCCAACCCCCTGCCCAAGGCAGGATCAGCCCCGTCCAAACCAGCTCAGACAAACCCCTGTGTGCGACCTTGGAGCTGCACGACAGTCACCTCGACAACCCGCGGCATTGCCCTAGCTCCTGGGAAAGCGCGGGCACTGGGGAGAGCCCAGGCCCAGGCCATGCCCCCCGCTGCAGAGAGCGGGGAAACCCCCCAGGCTGGGCCAGGCTGAGCAGGGGGCAAATCCTTGCCTGCCGCCCCTGCCCCCCAGGCAGCATGAGTGGGGGGCAAGAACCTCCAGCCAGGACCGTGCGGGGCTGAGTCCCCGCAGGAGCACTGGCACAGCCCGGGCCCAAGTCCAGACACCACGCAGCAGGAAGGGGTGGACGGGGCAACCGGCACAGCCCAGTGGGCCACCGCACAGCAGAGCACAGGCATCGCAGTGCCTCGACTCTCCTTGGACCCTCCCTTGCTGCAGAGTCCCCCCTGCCCTGGGTCTCTATTCATGGCCTCCCTCTGCTACCCGTGAAGTTTTCCCCGATATCCAATCTAAACCTGCTTTGCCAGCGCTGCTCTGGAGCGGGGAGCGGCTCCTGAGTCACAAAGCTAACACGCGGGGCGTGCCCTTTGCTTGGGGAAGGCACAGCCAGCCGTGCTCCCATATGACTCAGCCGCACAGCCAGACTTTGCGCAGGGAGCACAGAGAGCCTCCTTCCCTCTTCACAGATTCGGCCCTTGGAGCGGCAGCATCCAGGGCTCCTGGTGGGGCCAAGGGGGAAACGGGAATGGAGCCCAGTGCGTGGAGCCCCACGTTGGCAGGCGCAGGGCAAGCGTTTGGCCGTGGGGGGGTTACTGCACCCGGGAACACACGATGGTTAATGGTGGGGCTGTTTGTCCCACTGCCAGAAGTGAGTCCAGATCCCGCCCAGGGGGGAAAGGGGGTCTGACCACCCTGTCTTACAGGCTTTGAGAAGTCATACACGAGGTCCACAGCCAAGGGCCCTTCCAACCAACTTGCCTAGCAGCATGCCGAAGCTTAACTTGGACAGATCCCGAGGCCAGGGGCGAACGCTGCCTTCCCCGAGAGTGCTCCGGCATGAAGCAGCATGTCCTGGGGCGGGTAGGGGCACAGCAGACCACTGGGAGCAGGGACCCAGCCCTACAGGGCACCATTCAGATGTGGAGGATGAAAGAAAGCCAGGGCTAGGGAATCAGGGAAGGGCGTATAATGGCCCAGCTCTCTGAGGTTATCTACAGCCATGAAACAGGCCCTGAGATGAGGGGAGGAGATGGGATTGCTGGTCTCGACGATGCAGGTGAGGAGCAGCATAGGACATTTAGCCCGAGCTAAATCTGACAAGAGGACAGAGCCCAGGGATGATGACAGGGCTGTGTCAATGTTCCTGCTGGGACTTAAAGCCGAGGGTTCCTGGCTACAGGGTCCTGCCCCTCCACTTAGGGTCAGACCGACACTGTGTTAGAGGCAGGAAAGGATTTTACCTATTGGTTAGATTGGTACGGACCGGGGTAGTTGTCTTCTTCTGTGGTGGGGGCATGGCCTCTGCCTGGGATCTCTCATGTGTCTATTAACAACCTTTGCAGCAGCAGGATGTTGGTCTTGGCAGTCCCCCTGCTTTCCTTGGGACGGGTTCAGGTGTGATGGCTTGGGTTGTGTTGCTCAGAGGTTGAACAGTGGGTTTGTCTGGGGTGGTTTGCACAGGGCTGATCCTGCCTTAAGCAGGGGTTGGACTGGATGAGACCCCTGGAGGCCCCTTCCAGCCCCACGGCTCTAGGAGTTTATGTCCACCGCCCACCTTGCTAGCCAGTGCTGCCACTGTAGCTTTCTCCCCCACTCCCCGCCCCATCCATCTGATGCGTGGACTGGGTTATCCCTAGGGCAGGGACCCTCTGTGGGGTAGGACTGCCCCGCACAGCACATACGAACTGCAATGCCTCAAGCCGCTTTGCCAGGCCCTGCTGCTCCACCTGCCCATCAGGCTTGTCGCACTGCTTGCCGACTCCCTCCAAGTCACAGCTCCAAGGGCCATCACTGAGCTCCCACACTGGCTCTGCAACCAAAGCTTGTACAGACCAGGCCCCAGTTGGACCACGTAACTGTGCTCCTCAAGATGAGGTTAGACACAGCTGGGCCCTGCACTGGGGTGGGGGTCCCTGGAACTGGCATTTACTAGGGCAAACCACAGGTCCATCCTGCCCCATCTCCTGTATCCCAGGGTGGCACGGAGTGGAGCTGGAGGGCAAGTGCCCAGGTACATTCCTCCAGCACCGAGGTCCAGGCAGGTCTGGAGCAGAGGCCGTGTCCCTTGCTCCCTGCTCAATAGCTCCCGATGCCCCTTTCCTCCCAGAACGTGTCCAGTCCCTTGTGAATCTGGCTAAGCTCTCAGCTTCCCGCATTTCTGGTGGCAACGAGCTTCATCCTTTAATGATCCCCTGGGTGAAACAGAGCTTCCTTGTATTCTTTTTCAACTGACAACCTACTCATTTCATGCTGTGACCCCTTGTTATTGTATTGAGAGACAGTCTGTAATAAATCCCTAGCGACTTTCTTTCTACCATTTAGTATTTTGCATCCGCAACTGCAGCTCTCTAGGACTGGAGATGCTCAACCCCTGCCTGTGGGCCAGATCCGGCCCCTGCCACTGTGTCATCCAGCCTGCAGTGCTCCTCAGGAGGCCGAAAATTTGGTGGTGCAGGAGCCAGGGCACTGTTCCCCTTCCAC